ACATTAGCAAATCCGAGACTGTTTTATCTCCCGAAGATATTGTCTGAGTAAAATAAGTAAAAATGTTACGCATGTAAAGTGATTACTTTTTTCTTTGTCATATCAGATTTATTTTCATTTATTTGACAGTGACGAAGATGATCTGCAGTTTTATAATTCTAACAAGCACTGCCCAGTTTTTAAATCATCTGCCCCGTTCATATCAACTAAAATTGCATGTGAATTGATGTTGAATCCCAACCATGAGATGGTATGTACAGCGATGCCTATGGCCTTGCAAAACAAATTCAACATTTCTTCTGGATACTGATTGTCTTGCAAATGCCGAGGACGTTAAAGCAGATGACAATGGTAAATTCCGTCACAATGGGGAAAAAATCGACTTCGTTGAATTAAGTGAAGGGCAAGTCAGGCAGATTAAAGAGAAGCCAGACACTCTTGAACGGGGGCAGTATAAGCTTTCCAGAACATATTGGGTGCATTCTAGTAACTCTGATTTCAAGCGACGGCTGACTGAATTAGAGGATCATTCTGGTGACAAATCTCCCGTCGTTATATTACAGTATCAATTTTCTGGAGATCCCACAGATATTACAGTGGAACAGCACAAGAACGCTAAGAAAATACCGAAGCCGTTCTATGTCACTGCGAAAAGCACAAGAGACAAAATCTCGCAAAAAGCTCAGACGGCCTTGGGCCCTTCATCAATATACGACGAGTTATACGAAGATGGTGGTGGTATCTTGGACAAAACAGCTTCTTGCACAGTTCCACGAAGTGTCTCGCAGGTCAAGTACGAACGAGGCAAGCTTCGAAAGCAGCATAGCAAAGATGAGTTGGCAGAGCTAATAGAGAAATGCAAACAGTCTCAAGGCAGTTTTGTTCATTCACTTCAAGTCGGTCCAGACATCAGAGTCGTTCTCGCCACTAAGTCTCAGTTAGAGGACTTGGTCAAGTTCTGCTGTGATCCTGAAAGCTTTTCAATTCTTGGTGTTGATGTCACTTACAACATTGGACATTTCTATGTGACAACCACTACCTACAATCACCTAATGCTAGTTACCCGTGAGACAGGAACAAGCCCAACATTTCCTGGTCCAATGATGATGCACACGAAAGAATCTTCCGAAGATTTCCACTATTTTGGAAGCACGCTTAAAGAACAAAACCATGAAGTCGAGAACATTCTTTTCATAGGGAGTGACCGCCAGAAGTCCATCGACAATGGTTTATGCACCTATCATTGTTTTCCCCCTGAGGGGGGGGGTGCGGGCGACCCAGGGGACTTTGACCACACTATGAAGCCCCAGTGAGGGGAATTTGACCTATGCATCAACTCCCAGAGTCGGGAAATTTTGACATCCGCCATCTTGAAAGTTTGCGCGGTTTTGATATTAAGAAGCCTGGTAACAACTATGGCAATATGGCGGACAAACAAGAAGATCAAGTTTCATCGAAAAAGGTATTTTAATCCATATTAATATCACACTACATTAAACCATCCATGTTTGATTTATATTATATTATATCATATATGTCTTTTTATTAAAATATGTATGTTTTTTTAATGAATAAATAATTTTTGGTGATTTAATTAATATAAAATATCTTATGAATGCCCAGGGCAGTCATGCGATAAGTTTTATATTTACATATATTAAAATTTTGTTTTCGTTTCAAAACAGGTTCTACTTCAGTATGACGACAGTCGGAAGGTGGTTTTCGTGGACAAATTCTCCGACATTGTCAACAAAGCGAGGGAATGTTTTGAATTAAATAAAGGAAACGTATTGATTGTCCAGAAATATGATGAAGAATGGAGCGAGTACATAGATTGTAACAGTTTTGCCCAGATTAATACTGGTGATAAACTTAAAATAATATTGAACCAAACCTGCCGATCTGATGATGGTCAAGATACATCTCTAGTAAGTATTAAACTACACTTTTCCTCAACACTATCAACTCATGCAATTTGAACATTCAAAGCCATTTTTATATTACTTATGCATTCTTTAAATGGGATATATTGGTTCGAATTACATGTATTAATTGTTAAATATTGTCAATGATGTAGTCACAACAAACCAGGGAGGTTGCAACATAATGGATTTGCATGAATCCTGTAAATGTTCAGGCCAACAACTCTGCATGGGGGAGTGGCTCTAGCTATGTCTCTGAATGTTTATATAAAGAAAAAGAAATGGCATTTATATCTAAGCAAAAAAAAATGGCAAATAAATAAAGAAATGGCATTTATATTTATATCTACTGTTGTGGTGACCCTGCCATGAATGCATGACAATGGCGAAGTTAAATAATTAAATAAATAAATAAATAAGCTGTATAAAATGGTGATGTGACCTCTTTTAGAAAATATTTGATATGCTGCAGATACTGAAAGAATTTGTAGACTAAACCCATTAACTGCCAGTACCCTACTACTGAAGAGTAAAATCATTGTTTACTTATAGCCAATTAAAGTAAAACAGGCTGGCGTTGGGCAGAGTAAAATACAATAGAAGGGCATATCTGCCTCATTGCCATATGGGATATAATCATGCACTATGCAGGGTTTGGGAGAAAGGGAATTATAATTGTTTCACAATACTAATCTGTATTTTAACAGAATGACTCCACAAAGAGGGACTTACCCAAAGAGAAGGTTCGACAAGTATTCAAAGGCCAAAAGAAAATAAAACTATCAACAAAGGGTGAAATGATCCTTGAGCCTTTACAAGAGCAGGTAAATTAAGTTAACACACACATGATATACTTTGATATTCATAAAAAAATGATTTGGTGCTGGAAATTGTATTTTTCCACTATTAAATTCTTTCCAATGTAAAATGAGGCACCCAAATTAAAACTATAGAATTTGTATGACAATTACAAATTACTATAATTGAAATATGAACATTGAGCTATACAGGTATATCCAGAAAATATGTTGTTTTGTGCATGTGAATACATTCATTCATTCAGACTTTTTTCAGGATATTGTGAACCTTCAAGCTCAGACAGAACATGAGTCAATACAAAGAGGGCAAATATATCAAAGACCAGAACATTTACTAAAACCATATGAAAAAGCAATAAATGCTGCATCAGAAGAGTTGGTAACTATGAATCCATCATTGATATTTGATAGAAGTGCATTGTTTGAACAGGCCCGACAAAACGTTAGGGAATGTGGATATGTTTTCAAAAAAGGCTTTTCAAGGAGCAAACATAATCAAACAGGATCACGACTAAAACACCACACGAGTACATACGAGTAACATACGAGTAACACACAAGTACATACGAGTACATACGAGTACATACGAGTAACATACAAGTACACACGAGTAACATACGAGTACACACGAGTACACACGAGTAACATACGAGTAAATACGAGTACATACGAGTAAAATACGAGTAAAATACGAGTACATACGAGTAAAATACGAGAATTAGCACGCTTTCTTTAAAGTTTCTTTCACTTTCACACTTTTACTTTGGCTTCGTATTATGTTCATGTTGTAAGTGCCTTATTGACATAGGCGTACGAGACTGGGGGGCGAGGGGGGGGGCAACTGCCCCCCAAAAATTTGGAAAACCATGGAAATTCGGGCAAACACTAGGAAAAATCAAGAAAATTCGAGCAGATTTATGAGAAAATATGTTAAAATCAGGTTATTTCTTTACAATTCTCCATAAAACTTCGGGCAAACTTTCAACTGCCCCCCCCCCCCCCCCCCAGAAAACA